TCCCATCACGTGACTGTCTACACACCTTCCATGACACCCTGCTGCCTTCCCATCACGTGACTGTCTACACGCCTTCCATGACACCCTGCTGCCTTCCCATCACGTGACTGTGTACACGCCTTCCATGACACCCTGCTGCCTTCCCATCACGTGACTGTCTACACGCCTTCCATGACACCCTGCTACCTTCCCATCACATGGCTGTCTACATGCCTTCCATGACCCTGCTGCCTTCCCATCACGTGACTGTCTACACGCCTTCCATGACACCCTGCTGCCTTCCCATCACGTGGCTGTCTACACACCTTCCATGATGCCCTGCAATGACAAAGTACCTCTCCCATCCCAGTGCTCACCAGGCGTCAGCTGAATGCCAGAAGCTGGCTGGCTTTGAACAAATCCTTCACATTTTTGCCCTCCTGGACTTCCCATCTAATGGGAGTGTGGAAAGTTACAGTGACAGCCACACAGACAGATGTAAACCTGCTCTGCGAGTAGAAGATGGTCAAGTTGGGCCCTGGGGCCCTGGTCTGTCAGTGGGCTCTGACAGGCCAGCAGAAGCCTCCCCCCATGAATGGTGTGGCGAATGCTGAAGGCTCCAGACTTCCACATCAACATGAAACGATGGGAGTTAAAGCCACTGCTGCCACTGGCACAAAATGCCAGATGTGGCGTCTAACTGAAAATTACTGTTGAATTGATCCTTTGTATCTGTTTGAGATTTTTCACAAACACCATAACCAATTTCACATGTATCTTAAACATTCTTCTTGATTACAAAGTGAAAAGCAGCCAGGCCAGTGTATGGACAATGATAAAGCAGCTGCTGGTCATACGTATCTGTCAGGGGCGTCCCAGCTGCACAGATTCCACAGTTGCTGCAGAGACTGCACTGATAAAGAAAAAGAGCCTAGAAAATCAATGCGCCCGAGCTGGGTGGCTGCTAACCACACAGACAACATCTCCATCCAACAGGCCCCACACTTCACGATTCCCAAGCCCTGCCCTGGGACAGCGAAGGAAAATTTAATCTCTCCAAACCCTCACCAGGGCACTCCATCCTGCATCCCTGACAGCCACACTTACAATTAATTATACAATTTCGATGGGAATATCGACTAAACAAAGCTATAAATCATAGAAAAAGTCAATAGGCATGGACACATTCAATCATGTCCCGGCCAATGATTACTACTCTTAAAATACAATAATTATTTTCAGAAGCCAGCTTGAATTAAATTTCTGTCAGACAAGTACAAGACCGGTGGTTGATGAAGGATGCGATGGATTTTGGGGCAGAGTCTGGCACAGGTGCATCCATCTACGCAGGGCAGTTTGCTTCCAGTGTTTGTGGGACCACGTGTATGGCCGGACCATGAGAATGAGATGATCTCCGTGCTCATTAGGCCGTTTATTTTGCCCCTCCCGGTTGAGGGGGACAACCCTGGATTCTGAACAGGGAACCTCCAGGGCCGGCTGGTGTGTCGGGGGACCCTGGGCGCCTCTGGAGGTGTGTGCCTCAGGACTGGATGGCCACGCTGACGGCCCAGGTCCCACCTGAGTCCAAACCACATGCTCTGCCTGTAGGCAGAGCTGCCCCAACCCGGGGCTCCCCATCTTTCCACGCAGGCACGGGTCCTTCCCAGACCACGCCTGGAAACCCTCCTCTATTCCAACGCAGCCTCAAGATAACAAGTTCTCTTGAGTGTTCAAACGAATGTTCTTCTCACATGCCACACTGCATACACAGAACGTTACTGGGTACAGCGGAACAGGGTTGATTAATTGTGGTCAATCTGCTAAGAGAACCACACAGCCTTTGGACCCACAGAAGATACCCCCAGAAAGGTAGGTGTGTGTGTGTGTGTGTGTGTGTGTGTGTGTGTAGTGAGCATGTGCTCACATGCCGGTTTGGGGACTGAACTCAGGGCTGGGCACCATCCCCAAAATTAGGTGCTCAAAGCTAATGCTCAACCATTTGAGTCTCTTCTGGCTTTTGGGGGGCTTAATTGGAGACCAGAGTCGCACGGACTTCTCTGCCTGGGCTGGCTTTGAATGGGGACCCTCAGATCTCAGCCTCCTGAGTTGCTAGGATTACAGGCCTGAGCTACAAGCTCTGTCCCAGCTCAAGTTGTCTCCCCTCAGCTACTGGAGCCTGCTCACAGTGACCACAGTGTTCTGTCCCTACGGCTCCAGCGCTGTCCCTGACCCTCCACTTGCTTCCTGCTTGAACACCATTTTCCAGGCTCTACTGGGAGTCCCAGAACACCCACCTCCCAAAGGCTGTCCTCTGCTGGAGTGGCAGGACACTGTCCTGTTCAAGCAGACAGTAGGCAGGATGGCATGGCACTGCCCCATGAGTAAGACTCACCAGTGGACTGCAGTGATGAGTGTGTGGAGGGACACTGTGACCCCAGGGGGGGGGGGTGAGGAGGAAGAGGAGGGGACACTGTGACCCCAGGGGGGTGAGGAGGAAGAGGAGGGGGCACTGTGACCCTGGGGAGGTGGAGGGAAGAGGAGGGGACACTGTGACCCCGGGGAGGTGGAGGGAAGAGGAGGGGACACTGTGACCCCGGGGGGGGGGGAGGTGGAGGGAAGAGGAGGGGACACTGTGACCCCGGGGGGGGGTGAGGAGGAAGAGGAGGGGACACTGTGACCCCGGGGGGGGGTGAGGAGGAAGAGGAGGGAACACTGTGACCCCGGGGGGTGAGGAGGAAGAGGAGGGACACTGTGACCCCAGGGGGGGGTGAGGAGGAAGAGGAGGGGACACTGTGACCCCAGGGGGGGTGAGGAGGAAGAGGAGGGGACACTGTGACCCCAGGGGGGGTGAGGAGGAAGAGGAGGGGGCACTGTGACCCCAGGGGGGGGTGAGGAGGAAGAGGAGGGGCACTGTGACCCCAGGGGGGGTGAGGAGGAAGAGGAGGGAACACTGTGACCCCGGGGGGGTGAGGAGGAAGAGGAGGGGACACTGTGACCCCGGGGGGGTGAGGAGGAAGAGGAGGGGACACTGTGACCCCGGGGGGGGGTGAGGAGGAAGAGGAGGGGACACTGTGACCCCGGGGGGGGGGTGAGGAGGAAGAGGAGGGGACACTGTGACCCCGGGGGGGGGGCGGAGGGAGGAAGTGGAGGGGGCACTGTGACCCCGGGAGGGGGGCAGAGGGAGGAAGTGGAGGGGGCACTGTGGCCCCGGGGGGCACCGCAGGGAGGGCACCAGGGAACACAGTGGAGAAGCCAAAGTAGATCCTGTGACTCCAGTGTTCCAGGCTCTAGGGCCAGTGAGGAAGTTGGAGGAAGGAGGCCAAGGCTGGCCCTGAGCCAGAGCTGGCCGGAGGACAGAGGACTGGATGTCAGAGGAGAATGCAGGTGTGCTCTGATCATGTGAGGGGATGGACCTGCATGGGCTCTAGAAATAAGCGAGTCACAAGTTGCCAGACTCTGGGTTGGAGGGCATCAAGTGCAGATGTGACTTCCCATGAGAAACAGGATATGGGGGTGAGTTGGAGACCAGGGGACAAAGGCAGATCTCCCGAATGAGGGGATTGGAAGAACACGGGATCCCGGCTAGTCTTTTGACAGACCTGGGCGCGGCCTTCTCCTGTCTAGGCGCTTTTCCCTCACTGGTATGTGGGAACCGGGCACCCAGCCTGAGTCAGGCACCGTCTGGTGTGCCCATGGGTCAGGAGAAGCCCGCCAGAGCGGGCACACGTGCCCTTCCCGCCACTCCTGAGTCAGGCTCTGGCAGCCCCGAAGGCCAGGAGCACAGTCCTCACCCCACCCCCAGGAAGTGCCCACCAGGGAGCAGCTGGCGGAGGACGACTTTGAGAGTTAATTCTTCACTGTGGCCTAGAATCACCACAGAGGAGCCTCCACCAGACACGGGCAAGCCCTGGCACTGCCACTTTACCCTCAACACAGGCATGCTGCATAGCCTATCCACTAAAGCTGGAGAGTTATGCTGCAGTAAGAGCCAGCCATCCGGAGAACCACAGGGCCTGCCAGCCCTGCCTGTGCACACCCTTGCAGAAAGGACAGAGCAGGAGCGGCACGGCTGCCTCTGGCAGGGGTCCCAGTCCTGCTCAGTACATTCTCATCAACACACAGCTTAGTTTACACACATGCTCATAAACACATGCACATACATACGTGTATAGTTCACATGTGCTTGATGCACACACAATTATGAACACAAGCTCATGCATACAATGGGCCCACAATGCACAGACACACATGTACTCAGCAACACACACACATCACAGATGCACTCAGCACATCAGCACACACATTTGTGAACACACATGTATTCACTACACACACGTGCAAGGCATATATGTACTCACTACACACAGCACAATGCACTCAGCACACGTACAACAGCACACATGCACTCATTCATGCAATGCATTATCAGACATGTACTCAGCACACACATATATGAACATACATGTGCTCGCTATGTGCATGCACATGGACACATATACTCGGTACACACACCAGCACAATGTAGGCCACACACATGCATCAGCACACATGCACTAACTACATGCACATTCATGGACATACACGTTCTCAGTACAGGCATGTGCATGGACACACAGGTACCCAGTGTGCACAGGCACACATGTATGCAGTATACACATCAAATATGTATATAATGTGGATGCACATGCATGTACTCAGTACATGCACGGGCTTGCATGTACTCAGTATACATGTTGACACAGCTGTGCTCAGTACACACATGTGGACACACATATGTGCTTAGTTCATGCCCGTGCCAGAGGCACAGCTTACCCCTGCTGCCAGGAACTCCCTGGTTCCCGCCACAGGCAGCTAAGACTTTACCTCTGCCAGCAGGAGTCTAATGCCAACAGGGTGCCTGTTAACCGGCCCACCCAGCCAGCCCCAAGCCAAGCACAGGCCTGGAAGCTAAGCCCGAGTGGTCCATGTCACCCAAGAGGAGTCTGAGGGTAACTGGCCACAGGCCTGGGAGGAAAACTCACCGCAGTGCCATTGTTGTCCCGGAAGACATCCTGGTTGAAGTAGTCAAAGAGCTTCTTTTCCAACTGGAGCACGACCTGCCAAGTCAGAGAGGCCTCAGTGCTGAGGGAGTGGAGGTGCCCATGTGCCCCGAGCCCTTGCTCCCCAGGCCAGGAACGGCCAGTGGCTGTCCTGTGTCAGGAGCCCCAGCCACAAGCCACTCACCTTCCGGTCATTGTCTGACTCCCGAAATATTAACTTCACAACTTCATTGGTGTCGGCAGCCCGGACTGTCTGCATCGTGGCTTTTGTGCAGAGTGTCTGGAAAGACAGGGAGGGACTCAGTGCTCCTGTGCCCTGGGCCGGAGCGGCCTGACACGGAAACCCGTGTTTCATGACACCTTCTGCCAGGGAGCGCGTGCGGCAAAGCCGCTGCTCCTGCGCCACGAGGTGGGCGGTGGGTGGCAGCTGTGCCAGCCCGGGCTGAGTAGAGCAGCCCACAGAACACAGGCAGCCCGCCTTGTGCTCTGCATTCCTACTCAAAAGCAAGAGGAGCCACTGGCCGCACCCCGTGCGCGCGGAGCGCTGTGCACCCCGTGCGTGCGGAGCGCTGTGCACCCCGTGCGTGCGGAGCGCTGTGCACCCCGTGCGTGCGGAGCGCTGTGCACCCCGTGGGTGCGGAGCGCTGTGCACCCCGTGCGTGTGGAGCGCTGCGCGGGCCGCACCCCGTGTGTGCGGAGCACTGTGCACCCCGTGTGTGGGGAGCGCTGCGCGGGCCGCACCCCGTGTGTGCGGAGCACTGTGCACCCCGTGTGTGGGGAGCGCTGCGCGGGCCGCACCCCGTGCGTGCGGAGCGCTGTGCACCCCGTGCGTGGGGAGCGCTGCGCGGGCCGCACCCCGTGCGTACGGAGCACTGTGCACCCCGTGTGTGGGGAGCGCTGCGCGGGCCGCACCCCGTGCGTGCAGAGCGCTGTGCACCCCGTGCGTGCGGAGCACTGTGCACCCCGTGTGTGGGGAGCGCTGCGCGGGCCGCACCCCGTGCGTGCGGAGCGCTGTGCACCCCGTGTGTGTGGAGCGCTGTGCACCCCGTGCGTGTGGAGCGCTGCGCGGGCCGCACCCCGTGTGTGCGGAGCACTGTGCACCCCGTGTGTGGGGAGCGCTGCGCGGGCCGCACCCCGTGTGTGTGGAGCGCTGTGCACCCCGTGCGTGTGGAGCGCTGTGCACCCCGTGCGTGCGGAGCGCTGTGCACCCCGTGCGTGCGGAGCGCTGTGCACCCCGTGCGTGTGGAGCGCTGTGCACCCCATGTGTGTGGAGCGCTGTGCACCCCGTGTGTGTGGAGCGCTGTGCACGGAGCGCTGTGCACCCCGCGCGTGTGAAGCACTGTGCACCCCGCGCGTGCGGAGCACTGTGCACCCTGCGCATGTGGAGCACTGAGCAGTCCACACCCCGCGCATGTGGAGCACTGAGCAGTCCACACCCCGCGCATGTGGAGCACTGAGCAGTCCACACCCCGTGCATGCGGAGCACTGAGCAGTCCACACCCCGCGCGTGCGGAGCACTGAGCAGTCCACACCCCGTGCGTGCGGGGCGCTGTGCGGGCCGCACTGGGCCTCCAGGAGCTGTCAGCTCGGACAAGTGTAAAAGGTGGCGGTGGCTGGTCTGGGATGATGGTCTGAGCAGGTACATTTTGCCTACAGCAGATGCCCACTGGGGGAAAACCGAGGTAGACTGATGCCCAGGGTGCGGGGAGATAAAGCCTCCTCGCCAGGCACAGCTGGGTGAGGAGAGCCACCACCTCCGCAGGCCACACATCTCACAACCACACACGCCTGGGCAGAAAGCCCGACAAGGCAGGGCCGAGGCACCTGGGCTGGGGTGGTACGGGAAGGGACGGTGGAGGAGGGCCTGGAAAACTTCCTCAGTAACAGTCCACAGCCCAATTATGTTTTGTGTGTTAAAATACATTTCAAAAACTATTTGAAAAAGAGAATATATGAATTTTACTTTTAAAAAGCCCACGGTTGCCAGGTGCCAGTGGCTCATACCTATAATCTGATACCTATAATCCTAGCTACTCAGGAAGCTGAGAATTGAGGATCACAGTTCAAAGCTAGCCTGGTCAGGAAAGTCCATGAGACTCTTATCTTCAATTAACTGCCAAAAAGCTGGAAACGGTGCTGTGGCTCCAAGTGGTAGAGCATTAGTCTTAAACATAAAAGCTCAGGGACAGTGCCCAGGCACTGAGTTCAGGTCCCAGAACCAGCACAAAATTAAAAAAAAAAAAAAAAAAAAAAAGACCACTGTAATAGACATGACTGACTGGTTAGGTGGGCGCATGCAGAAGCCTAGGGCTGGTGGGGGCCCGGCCTGGCCTCTCCTGGAAGGCACCCTGCCGGGATGGGCTGCCTCCGCTGTCCCGTCCCAGAGAGCCAGCTCTACGCACAGCATCTCAGCCAAGGCCCACCATGCCCAGAGCCACCCTAGGACAGGTCATCCACACTCAGGGCACAGGTCAGCTAGCTGGCCAAGCCCCTGAAGTGGCTTTTGGACTCCTATGTCACAAATCAGTCTGGCTGCAGGGGATTAAGACAAGTATCCAAACAACCAGGCACCTTGGCCACCCTGCCTACTGGATCCCAGAAGGGTGCTAATAGGCTTAAGGGGCTTAAGCCTCTTTCTATGAATGGGAGGGAGGGGGAGATGGGCAGGCTGGGGGCCAGAGGCCATTGTGGCCATGGAAGGCAGAGGTTCAGGAAATCCTCGGTTCTGTTTCCTGAAGGCATCTGCTGAAACGCTGGCAAAAACTGCTTTATTTCAGCACTCAGGCAGTGCCCAAATGACAGACATCTGAAGATTTCTTGGCCCGCCCCCTTCTCCCACACCCTCCCACACAGCTACCCCATTCACAGGCTGTAAAGAAGTAATCAGGGGCTGGGCCAGCAAAGCTGCCTTCCAATTCAGAGAAGCCATCCCCACTCATGCAGAAAGCAGCCGGCCTGCCTTCCCGGCTCAACTGCGGTGGAAGGGATTTTGCTCTTTTGAAAAGAGGAGAAATACCCCAAATACTATTTTGAAAAAGCCACCTAGGGTTCACTTCATCGCCAGTGCCTGCAGCAAAGGCTGCTGGAAAGGGTGACCCAGCCCAGGCCTGGCTGGCCCTTAACAGCCCTTCTTCCCCAGGAATTTGCCGGGACGCACCCTAAGGTGTGCAGCACGGAATCCCTGCTTCCGTCCTGCTGGTCCGTGTCCACACTCGCTCCTGTCTTGGTGTCACCAGCCCAGGGCACTGGTGATAGTGGGAGACAGCTGTTTCTGAGCTACTGAATCACACAACTATATAGCTCATTAGATTTGCACAAAGCCCGTGATAATCAGAGGCTCTGATATGAATGTGTACAGGGCCACACATTGCAGGAACCAAACCATTCTCTGAGTTCAAGACTCTATTAATGGGGCCAACAGCTTGTTGACCCTAATAGCCCAAGTCTTCCCAGTGCAACGTTCAACAGCCTGTTTAGAAAAACAGAAATAAAGCTGTGCTGCCCAGCCTGGCTCCACTGAAACCTCCAGACAGGAGCCAGCGCCCCCCCCCCCCCCCCAGGTTCTTCCACATGCCCATTTTACCCGGAAGGAGAGGGTGTAGTTGTCCTGGGAACACCGGGCCCAGCCAAGGGGTCTGCTAACAAGCGTTTGCAAAGGCCAGGTTGGAAGGGCATCTGGGCCTTGCATCTTGCCCTGGGATGCTGGACGGGCCCCAGCGACTCTTAGAAAGTAGACTCACAGTCCTGTAAGGTCCATGGAGGTCAGAGGAACAGAAAGAGCTTCTCAAGGTATCTGCTAGCCATGGAGAGTAGGCGGGGCTCTGTCTGCAGGCAGGACCCGTGTCCCGCCCCCACTCCCAGCCAGTGGCAGTAAAAAACTAAAAAGCATTCCAGTCTGCCTTTGCCAGTAGCTAAGGGAGCTCAGCTGCCATCTGTAGTGTACTGCCAAGGGCGTGGGCACCACACACCACAGGCTCCACCCGCAGAGATGGCAGTCGTGCCGAGACCACGCCAGGCCTGCGCACTCCCAGGTCACGGCCAGCACCACCCGTTAGTCCCTGACGCCAGGACGGAGGCAGGCACTGCTGCCCTGCGGCACGCCTCCTTGACACATTCTGACAGCCTGCTGGACACCGTCCCTGTGCCCCTGAACTGGCTGCACATCTGCACAGGTGAACAATGAGGCATCTCAGAGGACGAACAAGGGTCAAGGGTCAAGCCTGAGTGAAGACAGGTAGGCCAGGGCCAGCGGACACCTGATCTGAAGAGAAACCCGTGCCACCGCTCCTGTCCACCCGCACCCAGGACAGCACCGGTCAACCAGGCACCCAGGCCGTGCGCAGCACAGCCTCCGGTGCTGAGCTCTGGAATTCTCCGGTGGGTCCCGGACTTGAGATGCTGCTGCTCCAGGACTCACAGGGCCATGGGTAAAGAGGCATATTCAGATACTAGAACCAGGGCTGACCTGTTCTCAGACTCGGTTGCACAGCATGTGAACCCTCAGGGGCTGAATTAAATTTTCTCACAAATTGAAAGCAACACTAACTTCAGGTTGCAGATGACACAGAAGAGCCTGCCCCTCTAGGCCGGTGCCTCAGGCTGGGGCAGCACCACGCAGGCTCCCGCCCCAACTTAGACCTGGCTGCAGCAGCCTCTTGTTTTCTCAGCACACATCCATAAAGAAAAAGGGCAGCTGGCCCCACCTAGCTCTGTAAGCCCTGCTCAGCAGCATGCAGTTGGGCGCTGCAGCTCTTACAAGCGGGCCTTTGGCTGAGGACAGAGCCCTCGCCTCCGGCTTGGCCTGCTCTCCATGGTCTGGACATCGGATCAAGGTGCTCCGAAGCCAGGTGGCTCTGGGCCCCAGCCGCTCCTGTGGCCTGGGAAACCCTAGATCAGCCTGAGGGCCCGCAGGCCTGAAGGTTCCTGCGAAGGCCATTCCAGAGCTGCCCCGCAAGCAAAGGCGCCAAGCCCCAGAGGACTGTGTGTGAGGGACTACCACCTGTGGCTGGCAGACGTCCACAGACTGCTCCCGGAGGTGGCCCTGACTCTACACACCCTGCCTGCTGGAAGACTTCACGTGGTGCCCAGGGATGAGGAAGGGAGGAAGGCGGGACCGGCCTGCGCCAGACGCAGTACGGGCCACCCTGCTGGCCGGCCGGTGGGTGGGCTCGCAGATACATCTTCCCAATTTCTCATGCTCATCCCTCTAAACACGACCCTGCTCCCAAGCCTTTATCCCTTTGACAACTTCAGCAGGAAAACATGCAGAATCTCTGATAG